CAATGACTATTGATACTTGTGATCTTTTTTGTAAATACCCATGCACGTACTGAGTCATAATCAACTTACATTATAGATATGTAAGGGAGGTAACTCAGTTTAAATTTTTTATTATTAATATCTTAAAAGTACTCAAACTGCAATTTTTTGAAAAAAAATTCTTTGTTTTACAATTTGAGCATCCCAAAACTGTTAACCATTTTAAAGGCTTTTTATAACACGCGTTGTGCAGTTGGAGGTACGTATCACATACGTGTTCTTGGTGAGTACGTTGCATATTGAGGTTGGTACTATACCGTGATGATATAAACGTGTTCTTATTGAACTCTAGTCGGAGAGTTGTAAGGCCTGTCATCTTGACAGTCGGGTGATCTTATTATTCAAGAGGTTGATAGTAAATTAATGTTTCCTTAGTCCTGTTAGCGAATTGATTTCGCCATTAATCACATTAACATTGCTATCTAATTCTTTGTATAAATTGTTTCTGTATGATATAAAATATAAACTGTACACTCTTATATATATATGAATATATATATGTGTGTGTGTGTGTGTGTGTGGAAGCAAAGGGAAGGATTACCAGTTCATCCGTTTTTGTATAAAGATGATTGCCCTAATTAAACCCTTTATTTTTCTGAGAAAGCCTCAGAAAATATTTAATCAATAGTTTTTGTCGGCTGTTCCTCTAAGCAAGACAGTAATCATTCTTTTTCATTCATCTGATGTTCAGACAAATAGTTGTCGTTTCCGTGTTTAGATGTCAGCCATTTTCCTCGCTAAATATAATGATTGTTATATAAACAGATATCGTCAAATTGTACTTCCTGCCACCGAACAAAATAAAACTTTCGAAAAAAACACAGTCTTATAAACATAAGGGTGGATCCATAAGTTTCTAGTCTGGCACAGTCATGGGCTAAATGTTAATCCGAATCTTTGTGTAGTATTCGATCCTGAGACGAGGACAGTGTGACGGCTATCGGCATGAGAAGTGAATTCAGCATGACATATTGAATTTCCGCTTAATTCATTTTCTTTCACGCCCTTGGATAAAAAGCATGTATCCATTTTCCTCCAGTTAAGAGATCAGCTTCACTCTTTAGTTTGCCCGCTTCAGACGCTTGTAGTGAGAACTTGTCTTATTAATTCCACCGTATTCGAATCCGTATTCAATTTGTCAGGAGAAAGTTCAATTCAAATGGCTTTTTTTTGTGCGTGTGTGTGTGTGGGGGGGTACTGCTAATTTGTAGAAAAAATCCCGCGTGTATACTTTACAGCCATAACCTCCTAAAATTGAAGGAAATCGCTGTCTATCCTTCTCATCTTCATAATTTGTACTTCCTTTTATCACACACACTTAACAAGGGTGGTTCGTGAGCTTTGTGTAGTTTGAACTTTAATTATAATAATAATAATAATAATAATAATAAACGGGGCTCAGTTATCTTGAGGAGACAAAACAATCTAAGAGAATGAAACTCTGAGTTCAATAGTAGCCTCAAGAGGAACGTACTCCGACAGTTTATCTTTACACGATGCCCGTGCTTAATTCAAAAATCGTACGACTATATATATATATATATATATATATATATATATATATATATATATATATATATATATATTAACAGCATGGCCCGGCGTTGCCCGTGCTTGATTTAAAAATCGTACGACTCATACAAGCAATCGCTATCACTTGACTTAAAAGATTTTTGCCTTCCTTGCCTTTAAAGGAGTGTCCTTTGCCGTGCTGATGTTGCTACATGCCTTACTTCTTGCCTATCACTGCGGATTTTTTCTAAGCTCTATACTAAACATTAAATCTGTTACGAAAAAAGAACTAAACAAAATGAACACAAAACGATCAGCTTTAAAAAAGGACTCGTAACTAGAAAAACCGAATGAAAAAAGAATGTTAACAACAAATACTTTTTCACACCCAACCCAGTTCTTCGGAATCAGAATCAACGTTGAGTTTAAGCAAGGGAATGAGCCAATTGGAGTAAAGTGGCATGCAGATTTAAATTTTTCCCACTTGTGATGAATGCAGCTATCGATTTTTTTTTGTATGCTAGCACGCTAGTTAACATTCGTGTCAGTCAGCTGTTGGCTCTCACGCTGGCCAGTAGAATCTTCCTGCCTATTCGTGACAGCAAGCTAGAGGCTCTCACTCTGGCCAGTAGAAAATGGCCGCAAACTACATGAAAACTGCCGTAGAAGCATGAAAAAATCGATTATTTCCACTATCGATGGGAGTTGGGAAATGCAATGTCGGTCTTGGCCTTGCCACTATCTTGGAGCATGTGCATGTAAATTTTGGTGCAAATCCGTCAAAAATTGCAGCCGTGCATTCGTTACACACACACACAAAGACACACACACACACACACGCACACACACACACACACGCACACACACACAGACACACACACACACACGCGCACACACACACACACACACAAACACACATCCTGCCTTTTATAGATAGAGATATTCACACTGTTATGGCTGCAGCACGTGTGATTCCCCTACGATCTTAATCGGTTACAGGACTTGTGACGAGACGATGAATTAGATTAATGGAGGAACGTTTACTTAAGTCTTTGATTAGGGGGTCAGCGAGGTATGACCCATTTTCCAAAATCTAAACACATGACTAAACGTCAAAATTTGAATTTGAAGATTTTCTTTATTTGGCCGAGAATATTTCAGCGCATCATAATATCATCATAAGACATTATTTGTTTTCTTTTTCTTCTTTTTCCTTTTTTTTCCCGACGTCCTAAACATATAGATTCGTGTCAAAACTGAGCAAATTTAAATGATAAGTTAGTTGGTCCCAATCGCTTGCGTGTCTTTGCATTGAAATGAACACAAATACAATAAGTAAGTTTTCTGTTCCTTTTCTATCTACTTTGTTTATTTGTCTGCATTTCATACCGATGTCTAGACACACACACACACAAGCACACACACAGAAACACAAAAGCAAGCATATAAGGTGTTCTCCTCAAAGAAAGGAAAAAAATATATATAGAAATAAGTATCACTATTTCCTGGTGGAAAGATTTCGTGAAATGCCGGGCCAAATACAGGACCAAGCTAGGTCAACGCTGATAAATAATGACGTATATTTAAAGTCTGCCTCCAGGACTGACTGGGCGTAGATGCTTAAAATCAGTTAGCATTGTGCATTTTCGTTCGAACCCAAGTAGCATCCAAAATTTAGAACACTAATTTTCAACGCAAGCAAATAATTTCCTCTGTGAAGATTAACACAGTGTAATAATTCTCTCCACTTCATCTGCACCTATATGAATATCAAGAATGTTAAGTGAGTGTTATTTACCAGGTCGGCTTGGTGGCTCATGTAGTTGTGTACACTTAGTGATTAATATTTGAGCAAAGTTAAGAGCCAGGCTACTAGTTTTCATTTTGTTTTTCACGTTTGGTTTTATTCCAGTTCTTTTTATTTTAACTCTGAAAATGTTTATCTCTAAATCATTTATTATTTCTTGTGAGATCACATTGACGTTTACGGAGACATTAGGAAAGCAAAGCATTGTCATGGGTCAGTCTCCCTCCCCGTGATTTGGAGAAGGCCAACGCCTAACAGAGGACCTTCACAGAGTGAGAGAAAATATGGTGATTTAAGCACCTAAAAGCATCAACTGTTTCACGCACATGTACATGTACATAGGAGTGTAAGGCGAGTGAAAGTAACCAGTCATTTCTGTTTATGGCGTCAATCCTCTTTGGTGATTTATTTGCGCCTTCAATTATAGCGTCATACAACCTGACAAAAGTTTTCTACCGTTTTCGAAACGGAAACAAAACCCAAAGAAGAATCTGCAATGTTATCGGTCTTAACCTGGCATCTCAGCTTCAGTATCTTTCTCATTTTCATAACATAGTTGCCCTGTGCTTTCTCTCTAAATAATTTCAAGGTAATTGTTCTGATTATCTTTCCGCTTTGGTACGTCGAATTTAAGAATTTAAGCGCAGTACTAGATCATTACGAGAGGAAGCATGGTGGAGTAATGTATAGCGGTTCGGATTGAGGAATAGGGGAGCCGAGTTCGAATTCCAGTCGGATCCATTATATTCATTTATATGCTAATACTCTTCTTCTCACCACCCAGCTATGTGTAAATAGCAGGACAGGCCAGGTTCTCTAACCTTGAAAGAAATGGCAACCTACTTCGTGTATCACTCATGGCACGTAACTGACTGATCGGCAGGGAGGTCTCATTATTTTACAATTGAAATTAACTGTTAAATGTAACCATAACATCTACGCTAACAGTTTTTCTTTCGCCCTTCTGTCTCGTGGGACTCTCTACCGGCCTCTTACTTTCCGGTCAAATTTGATCTTTAAAATTTAAATGCAATGTCAGTCGTCATCTTTTGACACCTTAATCCCTGTTCTTTTATTGTTCTCTCATCTTAGTAATGTTTTCTCTCCTCGCATCATCTCAAAATCAGTAGCCCTACGTGTCTTAGGGGCTTTATCGTCTTGCTTCGGGCAAAAAGATTAAAACAAATGTGATATGACATACTAACAACCGGCAGTTAATATCTTAAACGATTTATTCTGCTAATTAACACCCTTATACATTTATAACCCATTAATTAATATAGACGACAATTATATGTTTGTGATAAAAATTGTCGAAACAAACTGCAATAAAATGTACACGCCTACATAGGAGTATATATATGGACACAGTTACACATAGAGACTTGAAGGGAAATCCCGCCCCACATATGTGTGTGTGCTCAAATATAACCACGCACACACAGGCGCTGGTAGAGAGATAAGCACTAAAAATTGAATAAGATGAAAAGGAATCAAAAGAAGTCGGCACATCATTTCCAACATTCCGAACCGTCTGTTCTGTCTCCATAAATTCTTGGCATGACAAAGCGAACGTTGAATCTATAAGTGACCTACAAAACCACGTGGGTTTTAGGGAAGGAGAGTGACTTGGAGTGGGGAG